CCCCCCCCCCCCCCCCCCCCAACACACACACGCATACCCATTCTGCATCTTTCCTTTCACTCATTTCACCTAAACATCATTTTTCCATCTTAAAATTCAGGGTCAAATCCCGGTGTTATGTGTTTTGATGAAAAGCTGGACTAACTTCATGTTCTGATAGATTTACTCCAGCTTTACATGGTGGTATAATAGAAGTCAGAATATAGCTCAATTCTAATTCCAGACAAAAAGAGACTCATATGGCTGTTACCAGATTTAGCAATTTATAGAGGCAAAAGCAAAATGAAAGGGAAAAATCAAATCCAAGGAAAACCCTTTATTAGGAAAGCAGGAAGCAACTTGGCTTCAGCAGTGACATCTCCAAAGTTCTGATTCTTCCGGGTGAGAGGTGCGTATCCCACATGCGGATAACCCCTGTGTGTGATGGAGGGTTACTTGGTTCTCCACTATCCCACAGTGCTTCACTCTCCCACAGGGGAAAGAAGAGGAGAGCAGCATGGACAGCCCCTGAGCATTGTCCTTTATGCTCAGTCTTCTGTGGCAATCTGTGGAGCCTGACGGGCATGCAAGCAGTCCCAGGGCTAGAGAGAATAATTTCTTGTGTGGCTCTTGGAGTCTGTCATTGGGAGACTGGTGAACTCTCACAGGCTGCCTGCCCCGCTCTCTCCCTGGCTGAGCATCATGGTGGGGAGAGTGGAGCCACAGTGCCAAGAAACCCCCTATAATGCTCCCTGGCATGATTTTACAGTGGTTTTGCAGGAGACATGGTTATGGGCTGCAGCACTTCAAATGTACATGGTCTGATGTTTCCAAATGTGAGAAACAGAGCAAGAGAGATGTGACACTCAGTAGTAGTGCTCCAACCTGGTTTTCTCACAAAATGGGTTTGGTGAAGTGTAGCTGATTTCCCTGTCACTTAACTAGGTTTACCCATGATCTGTACTGGTGGAGAGTAAAGCTCAGTCTGTTTGCCTTGTGTTTTAAAGTCAAGATTTCTGACAGGCTTCTAATTAACCTGTTTCTCTGATCACACAGCTACTAGACTGTTTTGGGATCCCTGTGTTGATGGCTTTGTCCTGGTTCATTCTTCGTGCAAGATACAGACTGATCCACTTTATTGCTGTTGCTGTCTGTCTTCTGGGTGTAGGAACTATGGTCGGAGCAGACATATTAGCTGGGAGGCAGGAGGGTGAAGGTAAGGAACTGGCTCAGATGTGGAATAACAATTCTCATGGCATTCTCATTTTCAAAGGAGAGAGAGAAAAGAGGAGGAAACTCCTGATGAATAGATTTAGTTTATTTCAGGGTCAGGTTTTGAGGTTTACACCCTTCCAAACTATAGAACTTCTGTCTTTTCAGACTCCCGACGTGATGTTGAAGTCACAGGATGCTCTTCTACCTGTACTTCTTGTCCTGCAAAACGTAATGCTCCTTCTTGGTTCCTTTGTTGGCATGCACCGGCCCCTTGTTCCTTAAAGATAATGTTTGCATTGGCATTGGTGGGGTGGCAATATATGTTTGCTTGCAGACCTGGCTGATTTCTGCTGACTTAAGAGACTGAGTTAGTTAAGTCCTGCCCAGTCTTTTTCACCACTCTACTGATGAGAAGGGGCCAGAAAACTGGCTGATCTTTGCTGATGGGGATGCTGCTTGTACTGGAGAATTCCTGTGTGGCCCAGAAACTACTCTAGGGGTGATGCCAGGAAAAGTGAAGACATGGCCAAAATGCAATGAGTGACTAGTGGCAAGAAGGCACTGGAGCCAGTACCCAAATAAACATATATTAGAGCAGCTCTACTACTTCTAGAAACTATGAAAGTCCCTAACTGGCTTCTGCATCAGCTGTCAGTGAAAATCTTAGTGGAGATCTATCAAGATAAATACGAGATGGGAGACAACCTCTACCAGATATACACAGGTAAAAACACCTGTGCCTTTCCAGTAGTATTTTACTACAAGCAATGCAGCCATCTCAATGTAAGGATGTCTTTTTTGCAATGAAAACACAGCATTAGTGCTGTGCAGCCTGAATGGCATAAGTGAAGCCCGTGCTTCTTTCCTGAGATTTTTAAGGTCATCATTCAGTCATTGTTTGGTGGTAGATCCTAGATATAGCATTCCTTCCCTCAGATCCCAGTTTCCAGGGACTGTCAAGCGGGAGGAAGGTTTAAATTAAGTCAAGGGGTTGACAACAATGCTCCTGGGATCGAGCAATTTTATAAGGGCACTCACCTGATGCCTGACTTGCTATATTATGGGGGGTCCCATTAGTACAGCATAAAAGGCTTGTTTTTACAATAAAGCATGATACCTCAGATCTATAGCACCCTCTTAACAGCTTTCATAGGCTTGAAGCTTTATTCAGGTCCTTCTGAAATCAATATATTGACTTTCAAGGGTGCTGAATCAGGTCCTTAATGCAGAAGTAGAGTCAATAATGGAATGCAGAAGTAGAGTCAAGGATGGAATTCTTTTGCATCCTGGAATTCTCCTGGAGTTCCCACAGGGCCTACACCCAACAGATGTAAATAGAAATAGACTTTACTAAACGTGGATGGTTAATTCAGAGCATGATTTAAACTTCAAAATAAAAACGAGAAGATCAGTAGGCCCTCGGGAATGGCTGGAACCTTTGGCATGATTACTCTTCACATTGCAACCAACAGATGATCTGTCTGATCATAAGCTGGACAGACTTATTTCTTCTTCCCCTCTCCTGAAAGGTGTCAGACTGATGGAAATGTTGAAAATGAGCTTGTTTTGTTTGTTTTTTAAAGAAAGCTTGAATGTATTTACAGAATTTCCCTTTCTGTGGATTAATTTCTTTTACAGGAAGTAACGTGGTGATTGGAGATGTCTTAGTTCTTCTTGGTGCTTCTTTGTATGCCATTTCTAATGTGAGTGAGGAGTACATTGTGAAAAATCTGAGCAGAGTGGAGTTTCTAGGAATGGTGGGCTTGTTTGGGACCATTATCAGCGCTCTACAGCTGTAAGGATCTAATATATTTACTTTAACTCTAATTAAGAACACACTACAGAATGATTTCTTGTCTTCCATATAATGGTAGTATTGCTTTGTAATTAAGTCAGGATTTACTTTATATTTAACCACTTCAGGACCCTGTGTATTTGGATTTTCTTTCAGGAATGAGCAGCATGCATTTTATTTCCTTTTACATGTACTGTCTCTAGCACAAATGCTTTTTTATAGTGCACAATTTTCTTGAAGCACAATCCTACAAACTTTAATAAATGTAGTCTTTACTTTTCTAAATTGTTCTTTTGACTTTCATGGGAATGGTCATGGGACTAAGAACTGTTTACAGGATTGTGTTTCTTTAAAAGCTTTCCCACTGGAAACCAGCAGGAGTTAATCATTGGCAGAGGTGGTTTCCATGATTTTGTAAAATGACTAAAATTTTCTTAAGAGGAAAGGGTAGATGAAAAATAAGGCACTTCCTATATGCATTATTAAGGCTGAATTCAAAATGAAGTTATATACTTGCAGTAGCAAGTAAATAAGTTGGAGTAAAAGACTATGCACACTTGGGCCTACTGATTAATTGTATGTTCCACATCTGTCACCATTATAGTTAATCATTTTCTTAGATGGTATGTCAAATAGCAGCTTGAATCAAAGAAGTCAAGAGCAGTTTTTTTCTGTTGTGCCTTCTTTCCTTCTTTTGTGAGACAGCATAGTAACTAGTGCTTAATAAATACTTTAGAAAAAACTTATAAAATAAAAAAAAATATTTTAGATGCTGGTAGCTAAATCTTCTGTTTTATTATACTTTGAAAACAATGCAACATTTTTCACTATTCTTCTTTCTTCTTTTTTTTTTTATTTAGAGCCATTGTGGAATACAGGGACATAGCTAGAATTCAGTGGAACTGGAAGATTGGTATGTGCGCATTAAAGTTGTGTGTGTTTTAAAAAAACCTGGAAGAACTAATAATCAGTTGGATATAGAGCTGTGGTATCTTCTTTATACTTTATTTCATTTGCTGGCATAAAATAGAAAATATTTACTCAGTGTTTAAAAACCCCCTGTGTTTTGTGTAAAGCCAGTGTAGGACCACCACAGGTATTGGACCTCAAGATCCAAAGGCCCAAAAGGTCCATGGGAGTGAATTGTCTTAGTTTTAGAGGGACACTCAGGAGAGATGTTACAATTTGGGTTCCTTTCTAACATTTTCCTTATTCCACCAACATCACTGTTAACTTGATCATTGTATTTTTTAGCTAGCACATATTATACAAGTGCTGGAGTTGTCTCTGAGCAAAGAGGGAATATTAACTGGAGCTGTGTGGAGGAAAGAAATTCAGTTTTGCTTGGACTCAAGATTCTGAAATTTGGCTTCATTCTGAATTAGTGGAAGTAAAAGTTGAAAAATTTGAATAATATGAAGGACAATTCTAAAAGAAAATGCAAATGTTTCAATTTAATTTTACCCTTAATACATAAACTTTCTAATTTGAACTTCAAAATTAAAAATCAAAATATTTTGTTCAGGTCTGTTCACTGTTACTGGAACTTTTTTCAATTGTTTTCCAAAAAGAACTTTGGTGAGATTGATCTTGTTGTGTGAACTATTATTAATTCAATGGAAATGCTTATTCCAAAAGTCTCTCTGGTGAACTCTAAAAAATTAATGTGCTAAATTTGCATGAATGAACAAAATTATTCCTTTTCCAGATCTATGATACTCCAGCCCTCCTTCCTCCTCTTTGTGATATTGGTAATAAAAGTGTTCCCCCCTTCATACTTCATTTATTATTCAGCATTTGTCTCTGTAGAAGACTTATGTTACTTACCTTTTTTGTTTTTGCCATACATGTGAGTTGCATATAAGGGATTTTTTTGTTACTTGTAATGCATTTTTTTAATTACTTGTGTTACGACTCTGTTTAGGAGCTTACTTCTTTTGATAACATGTATGGAGTTTTTAACTCTCTAAAGAAAATCAGGGTTTTTTTGCTCATTATTCAGTGCCCTTAGTGTAAACTGTCCTCTTTTTTCACAGCGTTGCTTTTCATGGCTTTTGCCCTGTGTATGTTTGGGCTGTACAGCTTCATGCCAGTAGTGATTAAAGTGACCAGTGCCACTTCAGTCAACCTGGGCATCTTGACAGCTGATCTCTACAGTCTTTTCTTTGGACTCTTCCTGTTTTGCTACAAGGTAAGCAATGCTAATTTCATTCATGGTTTCAGTTAAGCTTCACTCTGAAACTATAAATAAGCTATAAATAAAGCGTAACCATCTTAACTCCTAATGGCTTGCTTATCCTTGTGAATATGTGTTGATTGTATCATCCATTTATCTCTGACAGAGTGAGCTAATCAGAAAAACTTGAGTTTAATTAACTGCATAATACTATACCATGATGGAGGTAGTCATTTCAAATCTATTTCATGCTTCATAGAAGAAGTGGTAATCAAAGTAAGAAACAATAAATATATTAGCAAGGGCTCCTAGTCACAGACTGCTGATACTAATTCATATTTTGAGCCCCTCAGCTTGTGGGTGTTCTGTTTTAGCTCAACCAGAGAAGGAGCTCACATTCAAACTTCCTGCAAGGGTTGGGGGCAGGGGATGTCCAGGTGTGAGGCTGTGGATTGGGCTGATATCTAAGGGTAAATATTTTCTACTGCAGATGTAATCAGTTATTAAATACATTTCTGAGAGGAGAATCTAGTACATTCAATTATGTCTCTGCATAGAATTCAAGAATCTGAAGCAAACAGACACATGTTTCTGCTGCGTATTCTTGAAGAAAGCATGCAGTTTCACTGCTGCTGTTAGGCTTGTTTCTTTTGTGTTTTAGCCACACATCTATGCTAAAAAAGACTTGTCTCTAACTGATCCACAGTCATTTGTGGGAACCTGGCTCGCTATGCATCATTACTCAAATGAGTATTCAGTGGCTGGAACAGCTTACTGAGAGGCTTTGAACTTTGCTTAAGAGGCTTACCTTTATTGCTAACCAAGATTGTCCCCCCCCACCCCCCCAGCAGTATGCATGGCAAAAAGCTTTTATGTCAAATTAGTATCTGAAACCGAAGAGCCATTTATTATGGAGCTGTAGAATAAACAGTTTCCTTCTGAAGAGATTCTTACCAATAGACTTTCTGCATGAGTTTGAAGTCCAAAATTTGCACTTGCCCAGACTACTTGGGTTTCCATTAAAAAAACAAATGGACAAGTCTGAAAATGTTTCTGCTGTAACGAGTAGTTCAGTTACAGCAGCAGTTTCTGAGTCACCTATCAATTGTATGCCTTGGAGCCAAACAGCTCAGAGCTTAATTCAAGTAGGAATTAGACATGTCTGCATCTAACAGTAAATACTGAGAAATAAGTAAGCTATTGGTAGGGATATATACAAAACTTCCATGCTTCATAGTGTAAGCAACCCCTAACTATTGGGAGTTTGGGAGTACCCCATATATACCTACTGCAGGGTTTCTTACATTTCTTTTTTTATACATCTGGTACTTTTCTGATCTAAAAAATAATAAAAAGAATGCTGAATTTGAGAACACATTGGAATCAACTTAGAACAGAATTTCAGGCATGTTGGAAAATGAGAGTTAACTGAAGGTCACAGTCAGTAACTATGCGTAAGGGGTGCCTGTGCACCCCCTGAAAGCGCAGGTGCACCCCCTGGCAGGGGGGGCAGGTGGGAGCACCAGCCGGGGAGCATTGGTGAGATTGACCACAGTGGGGACCCCCTCTCCAGTCAGCAAAATTGGCTGTGGTGGGGACCCCCCACTCCGGTCAGCAAGATTGGCCGCAGAGGGGGAACCGCTCCTCTTCTCTTCCCTGCCCCGGGTCAGCAAGATTGGCTCTGAGGGAATCCTCTTCTTCCCCCCCCCCGACTAAGGTGGCACCAGTCACTCATGGTCACAGTGGAAAGTGGCGGAAATAGTAGGATTCCTTGTTGAAAATCAGTGCAATTGATCAATGAAATCAAATTTATTCACTGAATATTAACAAAGCAAGATGGAGAGGTGTTTGAAACAGCCAGGTGTTTCATGGGAGAAAGGGGATCACCACGAATGATCAAGTGATCAAGGGATTCAGTCTGTCTGGAGATGGACAACTCTATAAGCAAAGAGCCTGCCATTAATTAGTACGAAGAGTGAAAGGGAGATAGCAAAAGACTAGAGTGATACCAGTGCTACAGCTGTAGTTATCAAGGAATGCATGAGATAACAAGAAAACTATAGGCTGGGGATTTTTGCAGTGCTATTTTAGAGAAGACATTTGAAAGGAGCATTCTTCCTCTACTACTGCAGCACAAAGACGCCAAAAAAGATGTTTCATATTGGAAAGATATTGGACCAGAAAGAAACCATAAAAAGAAGTGCTGCTTTTGACTCTTCTTCAATAAGGGAAGATTTTCCCTGTCACCAAATGATAGCTTGTATTAGGCTCCTCAGAGGCTATTTCAGATTATATTAGTTTGCAGATCTGGCTTTTAGTCTTAGATGTAAGGCATAAGTACTCCAAAGAACTCTGCTGATTTCTGTTAACTAGAGTGGTTCTTGGCTGTGACCTCTATTCAGTGATAGTTTTGTTCATCTTTGCCATCTTGGTCCTTGGAACAAGCACATTACATAAGGGTTTCTGGAGGGGAATCCTTGTTTTTGTTCTTGTCTCTGCGAGATGCTGCAAGCCCGTGGCTGCCTTTGGGGTCAGAGGGATTTAGGATTGTTGGCTTTTGCAGAATCAGAACCAGAGCAAACCTTGCAAAATACATCTTCAGCTCTTGGACCATTGCTTATCGTACATGCATAGATCTAGCATTGAGCTCAAGAAGACAAGTAAAATCAGATAATAAATGTGGCCAAGAAAAAGCAACTCTGTCCTCCTTACCCTATGGACTCCAGAGATTGAGTAGGCAACATATTAGCTCCAAAGATTTTCTGCAAGTGTTTTGCTGTGTAAGGTCTTAGGAAGGAACCTATTGCAAGAATAAACACTAGGTGGAGTTACCCCATTACCCATCACATGGATTGTAACATTTAAGCTTGGTATTGAATAAAGCTTTTTTTTTTTTTGCTTTGTTTTATTTTATTTTTTTTACACATTGCTCAGATTTAACTAAAGGTAATTCCTGCAGGAATTAAAATGGGTGTAATTTGTACGTAAACAATGGCCAAGGGGATAGAATTAAAAAAACTAAACAGGAAAAAAGCCTATAGATGCTGGCAGGAGGAGGAGCTCATTTTTTGAATAAATATAAACCACTGTTATATTTATGTGCTGGCCCCAGCAGTGTAAAAAGCTGCCCTGTCCTGGCCCCATCAGTACAATAAGCTGCCCTGGCAAGTAGCTCAGGGCTACTCACTCGCAGGAGCTTCTGGGGCCCAGCCAATTGGTACCTGTGGACACTACCCCTTGTGCCAGCTGGACTGCTGAAGCAGCCCTGAGATTTCCCTGCACACTTTACCCACTGCAGCAGTCTGGCACTGGGGGCTGCTGCCACCTGCAACAGCATGTGGCCCCAAGACTGCACGCCTGCCAGACCCAGTTGGGGACTGCGCAACCAGTAAAGGCATCTGCCCTTTTGGGCCAGCTGTCAGTGGGCTGTGGCTGCAGAGTTGGCCTTTGTGTGGCACTACTGCCCTGCATGCCCCTGGCCAGCCATCTGGGCAGCTATCACCTGGAAGATGTTCCCAGTGTGGTGGCCTGCTTTGAACTGTCAAAGCATGTCTTCCTGGCCCCAAATGGCCAGCAGGTCAGTCACCTCCAGCTGGGTCCAAGTTGTCAGCTTTGAGCAGGCTCCTGTGCCTGGGTCCTGGCACTGGTCTCCCGAGCAGGAATTCTGGTGTTACCTATTGAAAAAATAAAAAATCCCTGATCAAAAAATCCCAAAGTCACTCTGTAAAATACCCCGAAATCCATGTTCCTCCACAATTAAAACAAAAGATCACTCTGTGTGTGTGTTTAAAAAAAATCCCAAATTCACTCTTTAAAATACCCCAAAATCCATGTTCTTCCACAATCTAAACAGAAGGCCACTATATATAGAAATGGAGAGAGAGGGTGAAACTGAACAGTTGGGCAGTGTTTTATTGATATATTTACAATGCTGAAGCAATTTGGAAGCCTGCCAGTGTCTCTCATCATAATAAAACAAATTCTAAATATCTATAATGTTTGGATGTTTGCTTTTGGTTTTCTTATTGTAGAATAGTTAGAGGTCCCCCTGACCACGTCACTAACTAGGATGTGGGGACAGCTGCCCCTGCAGCCACAGCTCCTGCCAGGAGGTCTCATCCTGTCTGGCAGCTGGGCATGCAGGGTGTGTACTGGGGGGACATGGGGTTTGTAGAAGGGGGAGGGGAAGAGGGATGTGGGGGGCCATGGGTAGGTGTGGGTGGATCGTGGGGGCACCACGGGGGGAGGTGCTGCTCAGGAGGGGTGAGTCCGCTACCCACTGCAGGGTGCAGCCCCCTCACACAGCTCACAGACTGCCCCTCCCAAAGGGCTACAGCCCCTCCCACAGGGGCCACAGCCCTGCACAAGGGCTCCAGCTCCCCCAGCAGGCCCAACATGGCCCTCGCAGGGGCTACCAGTCCCCCCTGCAGAGCCCACATGCCCCATCCCTGCTTGCTTCCCTAATACCCCAGATTGCTTCCCTGCTTGGCTCCATCCCCTGCTGGCTTCTGCAGCCCCCCACAATGGCTGCCCCACCCAGTTCCATCCCTCACTTGCACCCCCAGACCCCTGATGGCTGCCCCACCCTGCCCCAGCCTCCTGGGGAAAAAAAAGCAAAAAAAAAAGCCCCACACTCACTGGTAGTAGCAGCTGCTGTCAGGGTCACTGGGGCCCCCTGGCAGAGCCCACCTGCACAGCATGGGGCAGCAGGGACTGGTCCCGGCTGCCTGGTACCCGCACTGCCACTGCCCCATTGCATGGGTGTGGCCCCGGTCAGCATGGCGCCGTGCAGCTCCACGCGCTGTTGGGCAGCTGGGGCTGCTGCAGCTGTCACCTGAGGCCTAGCATTGATCAGCCTGAGTGGTCCCTGCTGCCTGACAGCGGGCCAGGCGAGGCAGCGATCAGAGGGGCTCAGTGGGACAGGCAGGGGATGGGGCTAGGCAGGGCAGAGATGGAGGGGCCTGGGGGACAGGCGGGGGATGGGACCAGATGAAGCACTGATCGGGGGGGGTCCCCCATGATCCCTCCCCCTTCCCCCTCTACTTACCAGCATGGAGCCCAGGTCTAGTTCCCTGCAGCTGGCATGCTGCCTGCCCTGCATGGGCAGGCAGTGTGCTTCAGCACCAGGGCAAGGGCCAGCCATAGAGGCTGGCTACCAGAGCATCTCTGTGGAGGCCCAAACCTCTGGTTGCCTCAGGTTGCCTGCTTTTTTTTGTTCAGGGTATTTTTTGACCCCTGGATATCCAGGGGCCTAATTTTCCCCCTGCGTTGTAAAGTTGCAGCATGGAGAAAGGGGTTTGAGACTCTGCAAGAGACATGTGTGCGCTCATCTGGATGCACCCAATGGCTTGAAGGAATACTTGTCCCTAAAGCTTTTTTCCCCAGAGTACTAATTAAGATGGCGATGGTACTTTGCCTTAGGTGCTGAGCCTCAGCATACTAGTATTCTAAGTGATATATGGAAAATGTTTGGTGAACGTGGAATCAAACTGTCCCTTCACAAAGAACCAGAGGACGAAAAACAAAGCCGTATATAAGAAAACTCAACTTATTTCTTTAACCGTGGGAAACATAAGATGGGGTGGATCTACAGAACTACCAGTGCAAAAGGCATCACAGTGCTTTACCGTGTGTCTTATCACTGACATCCTCTCTTTCATCCTCTCATTTTCCCCACCCTAAAGTCAAATCACAGCAGGAGCTGCATATTCAGGAAAC